AAACAGGCACCATGGCATTACAGGTAATTAGCCTAGGCCTATGATTTTCAACTTTTGAATTGAAGACGAAGACGGAAACTTGACCCATCCCCCTCTACATGCATGAGGTAAAAAGATACTATCATCAAAACAATGAGATGCATTCCAAAATGCATATTATCAGCTTACAATGCCTTCACCCAAATGACAGGCGCACAGGTAAAAGACAGGGGATGGAATTGTGATCCCAATGAGATCCAAGATGATGCAGTCGCTCAGCAACAGCATGTCTGTATATAAAAGGATTGCTAAGTAGAAAGTAATGAAAACATACTATCTGAACAGGCTTTGAAAGGACCTCCCAGACTTCGGTTATTATAACATTTGACATCCGCAAGACGTTACACGCGCCTAGGCCTCGGATTATGCTTAACGTTGGCGCCTAATCCCATTCGAAGAGCTCAGGGCTGGATTAAGCCATGCATAATTATTCCCTTACTGCTAAAATATGCAAAGCTGTCGGTTAAGGTTCGAGTTCCGTTGATAAAATTTAGTGGAAAGAGACAAAGGCTAATCATCCAGCCTCTTTCCAGGCTCGGCGCGCAACACTCCTCGTCATCCATCCTTTGGAGGGACCGGGGAACCAACCAATCAGCAGTCGTTGCAGTGGCGGAGGAGGAACACGTACGAGTAGTGTGTTAACCCTGAGTAATCCCCTGGAATTTCGGGTAAGTTTCTGATTTCGGACTTCCCTTAATTGTTCATGATTTTGGTTTACTTTTGCTCTTGCGTCTCATTTCAAAGGCATGAATGTCGGGATATCCAATCAAGAGATACTAGTCAGCAGTGGCGTAGCCAGGGTTTCGCCCAAGAGGGTCAGTGCCATGGAAATTCACAGGAACCCTCATAGGATTTCCCTATCAAGTTTCATAAGTAAATTCTATGAAGTCGATAAGCATGACCACGGCGTTACCCTCCAGGGCGGCCATTCTCTCCCGTGACTCGACACTCTGATGGGCGGACGGAGCGACTCGACACCTGCAAGGCGAATCAACCCGCTGATCCCTCTCGACCATCGACACTGCTCACATCACAGGCTGCGCGTCTCCCCCCCCCCGGTCGGGATGGGAGTGATCGTATATTTTCCTTGCCATTTTGAAACAGGACAAGACTCATTCTCGACTTTGTTCCACTCGACATAGTTCTTACATTTACCAGAAGACCTCGCCTTCAGCGCAAGTTCTGGATAAGTTTCGAGATAATCTGAGAAGCAGCCTCGTCTCAAGCCGCTCCATCGGTGGAAATTCCTCCCTCTCTGCTCCTTCAAGTTTTCTGAAAATGTAGGTTTGCCGTTCTGCCGGGATTAAACTTATAACGGATGGTCTGGAATCAGGATGGTTCGCCAGAAGTTATAATGGTTCTTTGATCTTCTCTTCTCTTGTCGGGAGACGACACTCTTCCGTTTCGAGGCAACGTATAATTTATTATTATGGCTGTCAATCGATTAAAATAATTGATTGATTAATTGTGAGCCATTTAATCGATAAATCAAATTTTAATCGAACCCGTAATTCCTCCCTGTATCATGTCCTAGGCATCGGGAATGATTCTGCTTGTGCCATGCCCAACACCTAGGCGAGCCTCAGGAAGTGACTCAAGGCGATGCAGTCGCTAACATAGCAGTTACTATCCATACATACACTAGCTCATTCTACAAGTGACGCATTGCATTCGGAAAGAAAATAGTTACAACTTAGCCAGGTAAAAAATGAAACGTAAGCAAAGCGCAATAAGGCCCTTTGCCATTTAGCCAACACATAATGGAAGGATTAAAAAATTTAACTTAAATGATTGGGCGTATACAGTGACACCTTATTAGGCGGAGATTTAAAGATTCGTTAACAATTTACTGGAAACACAGGATTGGAAGAGCAGAAATAGGAGCAAACAAGGAATAGGAGAGGATTTCACAATTTCGTTTCCACTTCTCTCGCCTGCCCCCGGCTTTCCCCCTCTCTCAGTCACTTTCCGGGGGCTCCCACAGACGTTCGCCGTTGCGCTTACACGTACGCCTCTCACTCCCCAGTCTTTACATGATGACTGCCTCTTCAGTTCCATGCCCCTGCCCAACTCTCTTCTTCCCCCTTGCAGCTACTTCATTACGACTTTCTTTTCCCCATTCGCATCAAGTGACTTTTCGGTCGCTCTGCCCTAGGCCGCTGTTACCTTAGCCTGACGCGCGAGACCAGCAAGGCTATGCTTTTAAAGGCCGTAAGCTAGGCAGAAGGACACAGGATGCGTACCAGTACGCTTACGGATGCGAAGGGGTCATGAAAGGTTTGAAACCGATGGCTTCGTTTTTGTGTGTTCCCTTTTTCCAAAAGTAGTATGTCGTTTTTGAGGACGAGTGAGCTGTGCGAAAACGACTACCTTCTGTAAGCCATCATTACATATCATTCCCTTGATAAATCATTCGTTTTCGGCTATTTTGCAAAACTATGAACTACACAGTAAAATTATGAGGGAAAAAAGAGGCATTCAGGTTAGAGGGTCGATTAATTCGACTAATTTTTAAAATCGTTATTATCAATATCTACTTTATTATTAATCACTTTAATCGATTAATCGGTTGATAAATCTAATCGAATTGACAGCCATTCATTATGAATTATTCCACCTCATGGTGTCTTATTGGCATTGGTTCAGGGCTGAATGGAGTGAAAGCAGTTCCAATCAATACAAAGTTCTTATTAATAAATGCTTTTGAAATATTGAGTGTAGTTTTTAGACATGCTCCGTGTGAGACGCAACTCTGCACCATTCCCAGGATTTCATTGCTTTCTTCCCAGAGAGTCTGGTAATTCTCTTGTGAGCATTCATACTGAAGAGTTCCTGCTTACGTTGACGCAATGGACGATTTTTTTCCCATCAATTGACATCCAAAATGCTCTTTGATGCGATTGCTAAAATATTCGCCCGACCCTGGGGAATTCGGTCAGGGTTTTTTCCCCTCATTTTTCCCTACCCCGAGAAAAGGACGCGCATGAGGTATAATTTAACAGATTTTATTGCCTGCGAATGGTTGTAGCATATGAATAATCGACGAGAGAAATCCTCACAGTTCCTTTGCAGCCAAGAGCAGTTGAGTGCACTGGCGGCTCGGGGATCAGAAGAGGGGGTACTCCCTCATCACGAACAGGGAAATGTCCGACTCGCTCTTCCTTCACTTGCGTGGCTGCGGGAAATGGCGCGAAAGTCAGCCGGTTGCATCATCCGCCACTTCCTATTCGCGTGAATAAAGATGTCCTTCTCCATGCAATTCTAAGCCTTCCCTGTGTGGGCGCGGCCGCCGAATGGGATTACGTGTTCTCCGTGTACGTAAAAGGGCCCTATTATATATGTACTGACTCCAATTAGATGAATACCGGTGAGATTCGGAAGGACTAGGCTGGTCAGCAACAATAACAATGGATATATTGGATGTATACCACTCACTCGTATAGTCTACAGGCACCAGGCAGGAGGGAAGTTGATACGTCAAGGGCGACGGGAATAATTTACAGGTCCCTATACAATCCAGACATACAATACACACCGTTGTACAATGNCAATGGATATATTGGATGTATACCACTCACTCGTATAGTCTACAGGCACCAGGCAGGAGGGAAGTTGATACGTCAAGGGCGACGGGAATAATTTACAGGTCCCTATACAATCCAGACATACAATACACACCGTTGTACAATGTCACACGATCACATCCACACTGTCACTGTCCACTGACATACAATACACACCGTTGTACAATGTCACACGATCACATCCACACTGTCACTGTTCACTCTCTAGTCTCGCCTCCACCCCCTTGTCCCGGTCCGTGGGAGGTCTCTTGGAGGTGGGAGGTGTCCGGTAGGGGGTGGCTCCTCCTCCCCTCCTTGGTGAGGTCCGCCACTAAGCCCACAAGATGTACAAGGGGTGATCAACAAGTTTTAAACCTGAGGCACCTCCAGTTGCAATACACAATTCTTTTCATATGAGAAGACTGATGCCTTTGATGGTGACTGGCAAAATTTAATCTTACTTGTCGATTAAATATAGCTTTGATTAAATTTTTTCCCCCATGTGCTACCAAAGAAACTGCTGAAGGGGTATCATTAATAATATTGTGATGAATTTTCTAACCTCTCAGCAACTGAGATGATGATAGTTCTACTGACCCTTCCCTGAAAGATCTGCTTGGAGATCAAGATTAACACTGAAGAGATTAGAAAATTCATCACAGCATTTGCCTCAATTTGAATAATTTTAGCACATTCATTGAAGCTACCTTTGACCTTTCAAGCGCGTACATCAACATATGCCGAGCAGTATATTTTATAGGCAATACTTGGCTATTACTAACAGTTATTGCTTTGGAAAACCGATGGCAGTATCTCCTTTGGTATGTTTTAGCTTGTTAGAAAACTTTTTGTTTTTCCCAGTTGGAGCTTTTTCCCGCCAAGACGCACATTACACGCCATACTCTTTTTCTCATCTCCACACGACGTGGACGCGCGAAGCATCAAGGACATCGTCGGGTATTCTAGGACTACTTACAGTATGTTGGCGTACGACATACGAATGACAACTTTTTTTTTTCGAAGTTGAATGGTTTGAATGCGGCAAAGGGAGATAGTTCCAAAGGTATAGGAGCCAATACTCGAGTTTTAGGGTGGATTTTTTTAACAACACTATCCGATAATTAATCATTGGGCGCGGTAGCGCCCATTACCTATCTTCAACCCCTTCCGGCGACAAAATTAAAAAATGAGAGCATCAACAGGAACGAAATTTGGCATACTTCCTCTCTCAACACAGAATCGCTCCAGCAAATTTGAAGCTCCTTCTCCCCGGGGTTGCGGAGATCATTGAATCTCGCTTTTGGGGATGTGAATTTCGTTCCGGTCTTTTTTTTTCTTATTTTTTCCTCCCCCCCCCCCCCCCCCCCCCCCCCCTGCCCCCCCCCCCCCCCCACCCATAGGAAAGTGATGAAAAAGACGGAGCCAATATACCAGGCATTGTGGGCTGATACGAGCTCCTTCTCCGAGGTCCTCATCTCCCCCCTCATGATTCAGGATCACATGCCCGATACTGTCCTCGAAGCCCTCCAAAAGGTCTGTCCTGCTTTCGAAGATTTGCATTTTGCGTGCATCTCTCGTTGCATGCCAGCTTTTTTTTAATTATTGCATTTTTTTTTACCTTTCCCTTAGTTTCTCATACAAAGTTTCACGAGCAGTGCTGCGTTTTCTGCTTGCATTTCAGTGTCAATCATCTTTGTAAATAGCAAATAGCAGCTCTAAGATTCGCTTCATATTTGTTTGAAAACGACTTACTTTGTGTTCTGCATGTCATTTTCCTACGTGTTTGTGCCTTTCTGACGGAGATGCTTTGCAGATGTTGTATGGCATGGTTCAGGAAGGACTGCATGAGAGCACTGCTGTTCAATCACCGATTGAAAGCTTTCCCCTCCGCAGTTCCAGGTAACCGTACGTCACTGATACTAACGCTTTTTAAGCATTTTTGCCATTCAGTTGTTCTGAAATAACCGAAAAACTTAGGTCTTAGGTCTTAGATGCATGCATAAGAAACAGCTTCCGCCTTTCGAAACCTTGATTCCTCTCTATTGTTTTTCCTCCGATGCAGTTGTTGAACCACTCAGGGCCAGCGAAGCCTCAACGTGCCCCTCCCCCAACCTACCTGCCCGCGTCTTCCTTCTGCCCCATCACGAACAATGGCAACAACAACAACGAACCCCCCCCGCAGCCCCCATACCTCGAGACCAATTTAGACTCCCCCTTGCTCAGACCCTTGCGAACCAAAGTGCCTCTAGTGAGCGTGGAATACGCGAGCTTGCCGCGCCGCTCCAGCCTGCTGGACGACCGGGGCCAACTGCAACGCCGAGTCGACCTCCTCAACGACGACTGGCTGGGTCTCGCTCCTTTAGCCTCTCCCGAGACAATGAGCGACGTCTCGAGCATCGGTTCCCGTCGGAGTTTCTCTCTTCCCTACGACCGACCCTTGAACCAGATAACCTTGAAGCAGCCGCCGTGGGAGAACGGATTCGCCAACGGACGCGCTTCGGAGAGAGACGGTCACCTCCATCCTCCTGGGATCTACACTGTCCCTGCGGGCGACCACGAGCCCATCCGTTACATGAACGGGGAGAACAGCGGGTCCGATACTGCCGGCGAGATGATGAACACGGACCCGTCGCTCTCGTCCGACATCGTTACCTTGGATCTCATGAACTTGAACCGGGTTCGATTCCTGCCGGATGTGCCGGATCTCCCGCTGGACAGCCCGGACGAGAAACCCCGGCGGGTGACCTTCGGCCCCAGTGATATCGTCGTGGAACCTGTGCCAAACATCAACTGCCAATCGGATTCTTCTTATCCTCTATACAAACAGTTGAGTGCCCCGTCGTCGTCCGACACCCTGGACGAATCCGCTCGTCCAGGGGAATACGAGGAACTGCATCCCTTGATACGTCCTCCTAGTCCCTTCGGTCAGACCCAAGGGACTTACCTGTGACCAGAATATGCGTCTCGCTTTAGTCTTTTTTTAAATAGAGCCTCTCCGATTTTATTGCTCTTTTTTTTTGCGCCCTATTCGATAGCATCGAGTACAAAAAAAATACATTTTTATCATTATCTTCGGAATTCTCTTGATCGTCAAGGACCTTGTGAGGTGAAGCTAGTCATGCATGCATGCAGCGATTCTCTGCCAAAGATGGAGCCAGGAAGAGGGATCTCCCTCTGCCCTTCTGGCTCTGCTTGTGTGTGTATTTATACTATTTAATAAATTCATTTGTTCCTCGGGGAATGTGCACTTATCTTCAAAGAAGAGGGACCTTTTCGGTTCATCAAAATGAGCTGAGTCTTGTTATCTGGGGATGAAACGCATCGCAAAAAAAAAAAAATTCGCCGAGAAGCAACAGAACCGAGGTGATTCGTCACACGCATTTATTTACACTTGCGAAAACAACCTGTGGCAGAAATTATGTCTCCATATTTCCAATCTCAAACATGATGGCGACTCGGAGAAACGACCATCCTTGCCCCTTTTTTTATTTTCAAAGACCTTCCTTCCAAAGACAAATGTCTTGAAATTCGCACAGCTACCATGTACTGTAACATATTGAGCTCTCATTTTGGTGCAGAGAACGAAAGCCTTCCAATATGACTCGGTCATCAATTTTCCTAATTGCCCCTTTCTTTGACACAGAAATGAATTATATCCTACCCAATCCTAATGAGTAATTTAAATAAAGTTTTGGAAAAGTGCGTATTTGAGCTCATCTTTCTCAAAACAAATGGCAAAATCTATTTTCGTGAAAGATTTTTTAAAGACTTTAAGAACAGCTAAAAAAAAAATATAATTTACCTTATGGTCTGCTGAGAGGTGGTTGGCTTGGCAAAACAATTTCATGATTTTGATCAGTTCAATGCACTTCCATGTCCCAAGCACAAATCAATCATCGAGGTAGAAAGATTTGAGGCGAAAGGAAATTCTTTAATCATTTTCTGCAGATGATTAATTTTTCCTCATTCCTCCTTGAGTTCTTAAATATTCAGGCACACATGCTGATGGAGCCTTTAAGGTTCAGACAAAAAATCATTAATCATGCCTACCAAATCCTGGCTATGGCATTCTACCCTTGGCATGAGATTCATACAGTGCCAGGATCAGTAAGGATTTAGAAAAATGAGAGACTAGAACCATAATGGGGAAGCCTCAGAATGCCAGATTAAAAAAAAAATTACCTACTTGAAAGTGTACAAGATGACTCCAGGACGTACTTAGGAAATTTCTTGCAAAGGACTATTCAACTAAAGTATTGACTAGTGGAAAATTGAATATCCAGGAATAATCAGTAATATGGAAGCCATCAATCAATGAGAGGTGACAATGTCAATGAGTCAACATGTAACAATGCCTCATCAGGACAAATAAAGTCACTCTTTAAGGTTCGTCAGGAAATTGGTCCTGTTATATGCATGATTTTGTATATCCCCATGAGAAGATATGCTATCCCTTTTGAATTTCCAAACCTAATTTTTAACTTTTAACTTTTGAGTTCCCTTGGTCATCATTAATTTGGGAACTGACATAAGATCTCTTTCCTTCCTGAAGTGTCTATGTGTAAACTTCCTTGTTTGGTAACTGCCCATAGCATCTATTTTAAATTCTCACAAGATGGATGGGAGGCTTGTCCCTCAGGTATATCTCACATTTTTTAACAGAGCATTTTATTTATTATTTATTTAAACCACAAGAAAATCTCTTAGTTGTTAAAACAAAATCACTTGCTTTTTTGGGCTCATGTCAACTTCATGTCAAGAACACTCCAAACATTATATACTTCATCTGTCTTCAAAACATCATAGTGTGATTATCAGGATTGCTGATCTCATGAGAATGAAGTTGGGGAGAAGTATTCATTTAAACAGAGTACCATTAAACTAAAAAGTGTTTTATTCAAAATTAAAAAAGCAACAAAATTCTCCATTTAGGTAAACAGGATCACAAGAGCAATCACAAGTTCTTCACTGACAGGAAAACCATGGGTTGAGTCCACTTCCAGTTTAACAAGAACAGAATATGAAAACATGAGAACCAAATGTGTAATTTCAAGGTGTTTCTGACCATGAGAATTAGACATGCAAATTCAAGCTCTATACTCGCACCCAATAACCTGAATCAAGAAGGTAAAAATGAGAATCATCAGACAGGATGAGCAGGAGGAAAAAGAGTAAAAGTACCATGCTTGTAATATCAAGATTATCACAGCAACAAAATCATCTTGTGCTCTACTTAGCCCTGGAACTTCCGAATGAGTATTCCATACATCCTGATGTTATCATCATTAGGAGTCACATAATACTCCTCTTCCTTGTGAAAGATGGATTTCTTTGCATTGATTCGATTTTGCATCATGATTTGGTAGGTACAACCTTGGTGTTGAAATGTGGCAGCATACTGTGCGGCGATGTCTGGGTTTGGAGTAGAATAAATCCCCTCTCTGCATTGGGGGTGCTGGCATTTCTTCAATTGAGAACCTTGTTTTGCAGTCAATTTTGCCATTTGAAAGTCGGTTCCATGATAGGAGACTGGCCACTCCCCTTCATCAGATTCTAAGCGTAATCCTGCCGATCCGAGCCAGGCATCTGAGTCGTACACCCCCATCACCTTGAGTGCGATCCGCCTCCACCCGCACGGGCGATAGTAGGGGAGGCCCCCTCGGTAGAAAGGCTTCTTGTCCTTTACCCAGGTGAAGTCAAAGTCCCATTCGGGGTCACGGAACTTGGGATCGAGGGTGTATGCGACCGGTGCCCCTCCACCGCTCATTCTCTTGATCAAATGTAAAGTCGTCACATCTCTGATTTTGTAATCACTCAAAATATGCTCATCTTCCAGATTCTTTCCCTGGAATATGAGTCGCTGATCACCGATGGGAATCCCTAGTTTCTCTCGGAGAAGAACTTTCACGTCCCTGACCTTGTCTTGAGGCTGGACTTGCAGAGCCTGGGTTGTACTCGTAAGAGTCTTCACATAGATGGTGAAAGCATCTTCCGCAAAATGTCTGCGTTTCTTCTTGGGAAGCAAATCCCTGTACAGGGTATCAATTTTGAACATAGCTACTTTTGAATTGCAACTTTGATCACACCTCAAAAATTCAGCAGCCTATCTCTTATATTGGTTTTAATGATTCAGTTGAGGAGCTCTTAGATATGAAAGATGCCACCGACAGTAGTAAGGACCAAAAGGCTGTCATACATATGAAGACTTGGAATTCCCATTGTAAATAAATAATCACACACAAGAAATGGGCTTCAGAATTTTACCCAAGCGGAATTCTCCCTGATGGCAACCCCCATAGAGCATTTATATGCATTTTGTGGAATTGTAGCAAGTGTACCTTTAACAAACAAATGCCTAAAGCGATTTAAATTGATGTGAGTTAACTTGACAGACCTTGGGATCACAATGGTACCAAAAATAAGTAATGTTCATTCAGGATTCAACTTTAGAGGTCAGACTCACCCGTCTTCTTCTAGGCCTACAGAAAGCCATGGCAGGGAAATCTTATGCAGTTCTTTAAGATCGAGCTTTTTCGGTGAACTATCTCCTACTCCTTCTTTGCCCAATTTGATATTGAGCTGTCCCAAATTCTGTGGCAGCTCCTCCAGAGCTCTGCACAGTATCGCTGTCATTTCATCTGTCATGTTGCTGGTACACACGGATCTTATCTAAAGAACCAGCCAGAGACACTCAAACAGGCAGTCAGTTGCTTTCTATAGGCATGTTTCAGGATAGGCATGTTTCAGCAATTTCAGGACCACAGATTTGTCGCAACTTTCAAACCTAAGCAGCTAAGGCTTAGGCCTCACTTGTAGGCTTAGCTTAACAAAGACAGGCATGATAAAAAAATATGTAAGACAACAGATGCGAAGCACCAAGCTACCTACGAAGTTAATAATCCCCTGTTGACTATGAAGAACTGGATTGTAAAAAGCCTAATTTCGAATGATTTTTCAGTAGGTGTGTTTCTTGTGGAACTAAAAACAAGCAAAAATCGCTCCCTCCCCCTTGCAGACTGTATCATTCAAGAGAACTATATTTGTTGATGCTCCCGCCATCATCCTCCTTGTGTTCGCGGCCATGACTCGATCACGGTTGCCATGTCCTCTATCGGTTTCGCTTTCCCGGCCGATTTTTCGAAACAAGGGAACTAATACAAGAGATTTCTATAATTAATGGAAAGTGCATATCTATTATGGAAATAAACTCAAGGCCTTCTGGCTCTACCCTCAGGGGGTCAGAGCACTCTCAAATCCCTCCTCGAGGTTTCTCCTGTAGAACAGGTTTGTGGTGAAGATTTAGTTTACTGCCGAATAAGCGAGATCAGGTTATTCCTCGAAGACAGCTCTAGGCAGGAATTACTGGGTTGAAACATTTTTTGAAAACAGAAAAAGGCCCGCATCTGGAGAGATCCGGATTTGTTGATGGCGGGGTCGAAGGAGCGCGGAACGTGGCGTCACCCAGTTCGTAGCGTCACCAGCGGCGCCAGTGGAGGTTGCGATGGTGCTGAGCCGTGCCGAACACTGGGTGGAGTCCAGGCGCGAGAGCGTTCGTTTGGGAGCGGGCTGCTGTGGTTCGTCTTGGTGTGGCGGTGTCGAGCTTGGTTTTCGGCTGAGCGAGGATTAGGCTGGGCAATCTATGGTTGGAATTAATCCGAGAAGTTCCTTGCCCGCGAAAGATGGGGTTTCATTCCCCGAAGTAGCACAGCAGAATTAATTAATGAGTTTCTTGGTATAGTCAAGTTTCAGGTAGACAGGCGTTATTTCCTATGAGGTGGAACTAGATGTTATATAAGAAATAACGGTTAAAAGGGCATCATGTGGCAGCGTGCCCTGGTTACCCTTCGTTGCAAGAAAGGAAATAATGTTTATACGGTAGGCCTATTTTTCTAGTGGGAATGCATTACTGGGCAGGCTTCTTGCACCCATTTGTTGGTTCTGTAACTTAGTTATTAAACCATCTTATAAATGAAATGATTTCTGTGAGATATAAGTGTAAACTCTATGCCTAACAAAGGACGACTTCCTTTAGTTAATTGAAATGAGCAGTAATGAACTTTATGTTGAGAAAAACACTAATTGCAGAAATACTTCTATTATGTCACATAATTCATCACCAAAGTCACTACTTTGTACTTTATTTGATGTCCAGGGGCATCTACACTCCCTTTGCATTGTAATATTGGCCATGTCCATTGTGAAAAATGATAGTGATGCCGTAGTGTTCTTCCATGGGACTTAGTCATGACCCAAAATTAACTTAAATTTATTTAAAAGATCTATTGCTACACTTTGCATTCTAAACGCATTTCCCTCTGATATTCTTAATTGTTTTTTGGTGTTGTATTCAATTGCTTACTTGGACACTCAAATTCACATTACCTAGACTGTCATTTGGCTCTTGGTGCTCCAGGTTATATTTTGGCTTAATTTTCTTCAACCTTAGCAGCTTGGCTGTATAAAGTCACTATCATGTACTGCGCTCTGTTATGACCGACTACAATACTTTCCTCCTCCACTGATATCTTAATTATATCTCCCCTCAAAGTATGTTTCTGTTCCACTTTTCATGACATGTCTGGTTACTATTTCAAGGATCAATGCAGCCCTAGTTAAAATTTAGGTTAAGAAATCTACCTAGTTCTTGATTTGTCTCTATCCTTGATTCGTGTTTCCATAGGAATATGTGCATAGGAACCTTTACTAGCAGTCTCTTTTATTTTTGTGAAACAAAAAGTTGTACCTTGAGTGGCACTGGTATTTCAATATAGTATTAAATTTGTTGGTTTGGTTCATATGCATAATAAAGTGCGAAGTTCTCAAGGAGGGCAATGAAATGAAGCCAAAAGCTTTTGCCTTGGATTACTGTAGGCCAGTGAACTTTTTGCAGCTCGAACTACTCTATTCCAATAGAGCTCAAGTCTGAATTTTTAATGATACATAATTTCATGTTAGACTCTAGCTAGGAAAGAGCATCTCTTACAAGATTGTCTTCTTGATTTAGATGGCAGTTAAACTCTGGCTCCATAGAATGTTGTTGTTGAGTGATATAGTGCCTAAATCAGTTGAAAATACTCTAGAACTTTTTTTTTAGTTGCTTTAGGGTTCCAAAAGCTTGGAAAGCCCATGAAAATTGTGATTATGAACCCTTAAGTTTATATGAAATGCTATTCACACAATTCATTTTTGGAATAGATAGCAGTGGTGGCTCATTTTTCTGCCACAGGTACCAGATACACCAACTTGAACATTTTAATTATAATCGGGTCAGGGGAAAAGCTATGAAGGCTTGAAATAGATCTGGAAGCTTAAGAGCAGTGTGGAGGTAGGTCTTTGTACCTTCTGAGTAAGTGTTCATTTCTAGAAAAGTATCAGTTTTGAGACCTGCAAAGATGTGGTCATTGTTGTATACATGGAAAGGTTACCTGGATTAGACTGAAAGACTTAGGTGTGGTACTTTGGCCCCTTCTTTATGACCTTGGTTCCTGTCCGTTCTCTTGGCCATGTGTCTTTGTTTGCCTTCTGGCCTGCCCATCATCCTGCCGTCAGGTGGTGGTAGATATGGCCTGAGTGAGACTGCCCTAACCTATGTAATGTTGCATACTCCAGGCCACTACCTACCAACATTCTCATTCCCATTTCTTATGCTACCTTGAAATGCTTGCCATTTCATGTAGTCCAAATTTTGACTCCAACAAGGAAGTACACATATTATTCTGATAGGTGGTCCTTTCACACCTTCACCAACTAAAATCCAAAAGATGAGGATTACTTTGAACAGCTAGAGTTTGGTTTAGCCAATTATTATATGTATTTTCCATCAAGTTCTGCCTGGCCTGATGAGCCACCACTGCTATACAGGCTTGGAACCTGAAGCACAAATTGAGTGGATCTGTGAGCATATCTGAGTCATTAGAGTCACACCTTTTGGCTAACTTAGAGTCATCTGGAAAAACCTTTTGAAGCTTAGCTCTGCTCTTCTTTTTCAGAATTCTACTAAGAATCTACTCTGGACATGGCATTAAGTAGATGATACTTTATATCTGGAGTCTCTTTCAATAGACAATTTGGATGATATTCATTCATCTTGTCATAGCAATTTCATCCCTCTGAAATGTCTTCAACAACTTACAGTGCTGGAGATTTAGTATGGTGAGTTACCCCCTTTTTCCCCCTCTATCCCCTCTTTCTTACCATTATGAAAAAAAAGCTGAAAGAAAAGACACTAAGCTGGTATGTATTGTTGTTCTGCAAGCAAAGTTAGAATTCAATTTTGAAAAGAAGCATTTTTCAAACATAAGAATAAATAAATCTTCATTTTTTTTTTGCCAATAAACCATAATCATAATATTCAGAATGACTGATTAAGTAAGGAAAATAATTGTATCTCTATGTTGTATAATTTAGGAGTTATGGTTTTTTTAAATGAAGCTCTGGAATTTAAGAAAAAAAATCTTGGCAACAACTTCTTGGCCAGAATGACTTGGCACCATAAGGGTTAAATGTTTGTTTAAACTTTTTTTGCTCATGAAATTCTGATTCTATTTATGAAGCTGTTAAATATGTAGCCAGCTAATTACTAGTTCCCATACATGGAATTGGCTGTCCTAATTCTTAGAAAAAGGTTCAAAATTATTCTATGAATTAATTTAAAGTAAATTTTAATGCTTCATGACCCTGTTGGCTGATATGATTTATTTTCAACAGATGGGAATGGAATTAGAAGTCCCAGATGACTTAAGTAAGAAGTACTGTGGCAGTGACTTCATGAACTATAATTAGAAACTTAGAATTTTCAAAGGATGTTTGATTATAGTGATATGGTTTATAAGCATGAAACATTTCAGTATTAACTGGAGTAATTGTCTGAAAATCTTCTCACGTCTCAGTGCCAAAAGTTTTACATTCATATTTTCATGTATTGATCTTCATTTCAGGGCCAAAATGAAGGGGTTCTCTCCTTGGCCAGGCAAGGTATGTCCCCAAATATGTATATATTCAATATCTTCTCTATTCCACTTCAGAATTAAAATGTGTTGCATGTTCTTTGATTCTTGGCATATATTTATATCAAAATATTTAACTTTGCCAAGATTCCTAATGGGAGCATTTTAACTTTTCGTTGAGAAGCTCTGAGATTATCCATTGCAGATTTCCCTCCTCTTCCTTTGGCATTGCTATGCAATTTGTTGTTCTTTTCAGATTGAAGAAATTCCTCATGAGAGACAGCATGTCAAGCATAAGAAGCCTTCCCAATGGGTTTATTTCTTTGGGACAGAGGATTAGTAAGTTAATTTAATCTATGATTGTTTCTTATACTTGGTGCCATGAAGAGATTGCCTCCCCTCAGCAACAAAGTACATTGGAGGTATGCAGAAGCCAGAGTTTTAATCTGGGTATGCTACTTCATCTTGGAGGTATTAGTGATAGCATGTGTACGTGTTGGTAACAGTGAAAAAAGTCAATGGATTGATATTACTTATGCATATAATTACCACTCCAAAATGCAAGTGGTTGAAGCATTGCTACCTGAAATATACCTGCATAATGTAGAATAAAGCATGGGATTTATTCTTCTATTGCATTTTGTTACATCTGTTTCAGTTCTTTAGGCTTCTTTAGGGAGACTTTTTTAGGACCCTGTACATTACCCAGTGGGTATCCTTGTAAGTTGTGCCTGTTGTATTGAATGTTCATTGTTGTATCTGTCAGTGCCTGGATTGAGGAGGAGAACATCAAGCCCTATGCAAATTATCGTGAAAAGTTCTCTCGAGGAGGAAAGGGTGGCCTTAAGAAGGCCTTGGAGGCCATTGAAGAGTATGTGAAGGGACACCCTGAAGCCTTGGCATACAAGGTAAGCTTTTGGCATTTCCAATATATATTCTTAGTTTTTTTTTCCATTGTTCTATATTATTTCCTCATGTCTTTATTCTATCTTCTGCCCTCTGGCTGGCCAGTTTCATCTACACCTTCAGTTCGAAAGTGTGTTCAGAGTATTTTGTTCTCTGTAAGAATGCTAGTGGCTGGTGTCCAAGATGGGAATTTGAACAGATTTGCCATGGATATTGTTTCAAATGTCTTCCAATCCTTTCCACAATTGTAGCCTGTAGCCAAGTTTTGCAAGGGGAATAACAAAATTTCCTCTCTGCTTTGATTCAAGGTTTAAGGAATTTTTTTTTATGTAAAACACTTAAGGAGAATGATGAACTTTGTACCAGGTGTAATGGTAGCAATGTGTGGTATTTCAGTTGGAATAATTTCTCTCTCCAATCTTTGAACTTTTTTTCTAGTTTCTCTGTGGAACTCTGCTGACTCATAAAAATTTCAAATGAAGACGCAGTTGCAAGTTTTTTTGAGACAGGAATGTGAAGGGGGCTGTTTTTTCCTCTTGATTTCCATCATGTTATGTCAAAAATGTCTTTATTTGTCCTGAGTGGTGTAACTCACAAACTGCTAGGGATAGAAATGCAAAATTCATGAGACACTTCATGGAAGGAACTGGTGTAATCATAATGAAAATTTAATGTTTGTGGGGGGGGAGGAAAGAAAGGTAGCAGGTGGAATATTAATTTTGTAGGTTTGATTTGCATGCATATAAATATCAGCAAATTGTAACATTACCAGCTTCATTAGTCTTTGTGTCAGCAGATGGCATTAAAAATAATTTTGTGAAAATTCCATGGGATCATGTAATTGAGCATTCTCCCTAAATAACATCTTTGTAATGAAGGTCTAAAAAGTTGATGGGAGCAGATTTTGGACTGTATGCAAATAAACATGAAGATGATGGAGTGGAAGTTTTTAATTCTGAAGCAAATTGCATGTTTAATTGCTTAGGAGGTTCTCTGAAGTCAAATTTTGCATTTGTGAGTATGGCAACAGATTATGGCTCTACTGATGGGTCGATTTTGCATGGAGCTAGAAAAGTAGCCTTCAATAATATATACATAATCTGTGGAAGTTGAAATCTTCAGATTTTATCTTGATTCTCACCAATTAACTTTGCTACAAAATGCATGACTACTTACTTCACATATATTGTCAAGTGTAGATGCATTCCGATTTTGGACCTATATCATATTAAGCATATTCCCTATTATAAGGTTATGGGGAGATTTGCCTTCGTACTTCTGTGACGTTTTATAAGTGTAGGTCCTAGCTTAATTGTTTCAACCATCCAAAGTGGGACCGCTTAATAATATATGTATTTTTTCACTGGAGTTGAAGATAGGAAAAATAAGAATGTCAGGACTGTTGTCATTAATGCAACACTGAGCAGAGTTCATCTTCCTAACTAGAGGAATTCGTGAGGCAGAAGAGAGAGACAATGTAATATCACTTTCATTCCTCCTCTTCATGTTTAATCATGTGCACCAGTCCTGAGGGAAATGTACAGGGTGTTCTGAAAGTTTCTGACCTACTAAAATGAAGATGGAGACGAGATTGGTGGGAATATATTGATTTAATTCCATTCCACATGGCCAAGAATACCCAAGGTACCAACTCCTACATCAATACTTGATATGATTTCTGCAGACCCCAAAGAAACCTCAGAGCAGTGCTACAAATCTCTCAATCAATCGGCAGATGATGCTCATCACATTCTCTCTCCACTTAGAGCCCCGGTAATGACTGAGCCTGATTTATGGGGTGGGGGTGATGCAGAGCACTTTACTAGATCCTGTGCCATAGGTGTTTTGGATGCTGAGGTCTGGACAGTTCCTTGGTAAATTCCTCTAGACCTGTTCCATATTCTCTTGAATGGCATGGAATGCAAAGGAAGCCTCTAAGGCATGGCCTCCATCACACATTAGCACAGCCTTTTCTTGGTCTTAGCTGATTGCCTGGGTCTTCATGTAGCCTGTGTAGATATGCAAAATGTTTTCACTATAGCTGGCATAGCATTTAGCCACATCTTGTGTGGGTGGGTCAGAAACTTCTGGAACACCCTGTATATGTGATGCTATGGCTGTTTTGAATGGAGCAAAACCTGGTGATAGCCCTATAGTTGGGATCATCATTGGGACAACAGTCATTCTTGCATTAGGGCAATTCAGGAAAGGATATGCCTTCTCTAGCTCTGAGATCTGAGAACATATGACATTGTGCCCTCACTGATTTTTTCTTCTCTCTCATATAAGACAGCACACTGATGTAGAAGTCCGAAGTGAAGAGAGAGAGTGAAGGATGGACTCTGCCCACGAAGCACTACTTTTATATTTCTATGAACCTATTCCAATGAAATATGCTTATCCAATCATTAAAATTGTGAAAAATTGTCAGGAATAATAAACTTATTAAAACTCAATGGGGACCACTTCATGGTGATGTGGACTGCTCTTTCCTTGAGGCAGGAAGGATTGAGGAAAGACTGCATAGGTGTTTTTTTTATGGAGGAGAAGTGATATGTGAAGGGAACTAAACCATCAGTGGAGCCATGGTAGGTTAAAGTGAACTGCTTGTCTATGCTATAAGAAACTCTGCTTAACCTCCAGCTAATAAAGGAACTGCCAGTTCTGTGTAGCAGGTCTAACTTAAATAAAAAATAAAAACTTGTAACAAATAGTTGAAAATCTACAGAGCACAGGCAAGTGTCATTTAATAATACCCTTACTGGTGTGCATAACTTCTCCATCCTGTTCATCCAAGTTAAAATCTGTCATGAAGTGATTCATCTTTAGCCCATGGCTTTTATTGTTTAAATTAATTGCTGAGTACTAGTAAACTGTGTTTATTAAATTGTGTTGGCCAATACAGGCCTACAGTCCTGCAGAAATCTCAAATTATAGTTGTTATAGAAAGTTGTTGATAACTAGTCCATGACTGTAGTTATCCTCCACCTTTTTTTTTGGAGTGACATAATGCACAACAACAGGACTAATAATTGGCACTTGATCTGTGTTGAATGTGGGGTATTCCATGAGAAATGACATTACCCTAAGGTGAAGACCATACCCTTGCTGATTTTTTAAACAGATTTTTTGCATGCTGAGTTAATTTGGGAAGAAAAGTTGGCATACAAATTTTGAGAATTGTCATCTTATACTTGATTTTACTTGTAAAATAAAAAACATTCCTATAGAATTGTAGTGGACTGACAAATTAGGTGTTGTTTCAATGCAAAATCAGCTGGAGAATCTAAATATGCCATCAGATTAGCTGTAGCTTCCATAGGAACAAAAAAGTTACTAACATTAGAAGTTTTCACATTTAAGCACCCCTCTGGTTAAAAAAAAAATTTCAGGAACTTTTCACTGCATAGGTCATCTTTCAAGATCAAGATTAAAACAGTGTGTTCCTTGAGGATTTTTATTGAAAAAAAAATTATATTCTGCCTTAGTGATGAAATTATCCAACTTTTGGCTGATAACTTTTTTTTATGAGTAGGGAAAAATAAGTAACCCATTCTGGTAAGGCCTGGCAGCCTAGGTGCATCTTCCTGTGGGTTGTTGGGAATAATTTTGGTCACCTTGCCATTAGTCATAACTCCAAAATGAGGGATCTGATTGACCGAGTTTTGTAGGGTGACTTTACTCCCCAAAGTAGCCCAGCTTGCAAAAAGTCTGAAATATCTGCTAGGGTGTGATTTTGGAATGTGGATAGACATGGGTGATCATGGAATGCCTCAAGTAGAAGGGACTGGAGGTATAGTGTGATCAAATTAAATTGTTTCACTGTATGATAGTATCGGAGCTCCTGCATGCATACTTCATTAGAATGAACTCATATCCTTGTCTTGCGAGTCTCTGTCACTTTGATTCATGTCCTGTCTGATTCATTCTTTTGGTGGATTCAGCCAGAAGTATATGACTATGTGGATGATGAAGAATCTGGCAAGTTCCCTACTTCTGCACCAGCCAAGAAGTCAAAAGACACCAAAGTTAGTACAAATATCATGCCTTTCCTACCTTCCTTTTCTTCACTGAGTATAAGACCAGAAAGTAAATTTGTAATTCTAGGATGCTTGTAACTTCTTTAATATTTTCCCTGCAACAATTATGAACTTCATCCATTTTTTATTATTGCTTATTTTATTATTATACTTAGGAAATTTCTGCTCTAATGCATGTCAGTGAAGGGCAGACTATGAGCCTTGTGTTATGACAATTGTTTTCTACGTTCCAGAGTACCGGTACCTCAAGACGTACGTCCAAGCGGAGAAATTCTGAAACCAGCAGTACAAGTAGCATTTCCTCAGGTAAGAAACAGAGGCTGTCCTCATCTACCAAGAATGGGGAGATGAGCCGCCACACCTACATGAACCACAGCAACCCCCCACGGAAAGGGGCTCGAGAGAGTCTCCTGTCCAGACCCAACACTCAGCCTGTTAGGGTAAGTTGCTAACATCTATTCACTTTATGTACTCATCATGCTTAGTGTGCCAACTTTTGCTGCCTCTCTTTGCAGAATGAATCAGTTCTGGACGTTGAAACCCTAACGGATACCCTGAAGGGAAAAAAAATTGAACCCTCCACTCTTAAGTTTGGCTTTCTTGGCCTTGGGAACATGGGCTCAGGGATAGTGAAAAATCTCCTCAATTCGGGGCACAGTGTCTCAGTTTGGAATAGAACACCAGACAAGGTTAGTCTCACTTGTGTGTCACAGAATGTAAACATATATAGATCAAAATATGGGGGGTGGTCTTTGTGAACAGTGTTTTATTATTTAACCTTACATGAAACAGATAAATCACTCATGTAATACTCTAGACATGAAGAAGAACTAAAAGATCACCAAAATAATCACAAACATGGATCCATATCACTCCCAACAGGCCATGAAGGGTATGGACTGTGGTGAAACTTACACTATCATGGCAGATGATTCATGGCAGTCCTCGTCACTACTGTCATCAGTTATTTTCACCGTTAACACCTCAGATCTTTCACCTTTAATATCACTTTCCGCATAACTGTTGAGGGAGGAGACTTCAGGAGTAAAGTATACAGATGATACAGGGGTGATATCTGGAGCTTCCAGCACTTCACCCAGATCAGCTTCAAAGTCCAGTGGGAAATCATCTAGTTCATCAAGCATCATAGAATCTGTTTGGTTACAAGAGCCCATGCGGCAGTTGTCCATGTTGATGGATGGAATGTTCTCCATGATTTTGTTCAGAGTTTTCTGTTGCAATTTGTAGTTCTCCCGTAGACGGATGAGCTGCTGGACCGTGAATTTGCGTAATCTCTCCCTCTGGCCGATGTAATTTTCTCTTGCTCTCTGCATCTGTTGCATTGAGTACTCCTTAACACGTTTCACCTGAAATCAAATTTGTAAGAACTCAATGCCCCATTTAATTTTGCATGCAATCATCTGCCCTGCAGTGTTCCAACATCTGCTTACCTGATCGTAATATTGGTCCCGCATTGAGGACAGCTGATTTGTTCCATAGTCCCTAAACCCCCTGAGGGTTTTTACTTGACCTGCATAACTTTCTCTTATCCTGTATATCTGCTGAGCACAATTTTCCTTCACTTTCTGTGCCTGTAAATACAAAATAGGACATGATTAATGCTAATGATCATCCAATGCTTTAGCTGCTGAGGTTTTTCCTTAAGGAAAAATTTCTCCCTGACCTGCATATTATAATTTTGCCTGATCCAGTCTAGTTGATCAGTCCGGTACTGTTCTAGGTTTTCGAGAATTTGACGAATCTGTCGGGCTCTTGGGGAATTTGCATCATAACAGCAGCATCCAAACCTAGAGAAAAGTGTACATATGTCACCATAGGTCTTAAAATGCTTGCTTGGTATAAGAAAGTAGCCCTACTCACTTGGTCAGGATAAATTTGATGAGCTGATAGATCAAGGTGATGAGTAGGATCAGAGCAGCAACTGCTACTCCAAAAAGAATGCTCTCTATTTCAATATCTAGCAGGTTTTCTGTGCTTGCAACTAGTGTGATGGTGCTGCTTGCATTAGAGAATGTATTGGCCACAAAACACAAATATTCTCCAATGTCCAGTCTTGAGATCTTCTCTATGTAAAGACTTCCATCAGGTAACAGATGGAATCTGTTGACTTCTCTGGTGGAGAGTTTGGTCAGGTTCTGGTGATGTCCTCGAGGGTGCTTGGAGAAGATGGGACTGAAGCGGGAATCGGGTGGATAATAATGAAAGACAATGCTATTGGGTGTGACCCATGTTTTCACCGGCAGGGGATTTCCAGTCGTATTGCATTCGAGAAGTGCATCTGCACCTAGTCTTGTGGGACTAGTCACTCGAGTTTCTGTGATATTTGCAGAAGTGCATGTCATGTTCTTCAATGTTTCTTGAAGGGTTTTCTCTTCTCCCTCACCCCCACATAAAATTCCAAGAGTCATGTTGGCCTTCATCCATGACTTGAGCCAGTACAGCTCACAACTGCAGGTAAAGGGATTTCTTTCTAGAGCCAGAACTTTCATTGGAGATAGCTTTGAAAGGCTGTATGGAAGATTAGAGAGTTGGTTCTTTGTCAGGTCGAGGATGTCCAGATCTTGCAGGCCTTCGAATGCATCATCAGCTATGTGTGTCAGCGCTGGATTTTCTGACACGATGATGGTTCGAACATGACTCATTCCAGAGAATGTCTGCGATCGGATGCTTCTCAGATTTGGTAGGCGTCTGGCAATGAACGTGGATATGTTTTCGCAGCCGAGGAATGGCTCTTTTTCGAGGAAAAACAGCCGGGTTGCCGTCAGATCCAAGACCTTGAGGTTTTTCAAGTAGAGGCAGAAATCATTGGGTAGGAATACTAAAGGATTATGGTGGAATTTCAGGTGTTGCAATGCAGAGAGACCATCCAGGGTCCCTGTATCAATGGCAACCATGGAATTGTGATCCAGATAGAGGGAACGAAGCTCCTGCGACTGCAGGAAGGCATTGTGGTCCACGGTTTGGATCTGATTGTGACTGAGATCCAGAACCTGGAGAGAGATTAGACGATTGAAACAATCGCTGCCTATGCTATTCAAAGCATTATGTGACAGATTCAGCGATCTCAGGTTTCTCAAGTCATAGAATATGTCACGGGGAATCTCCCGGAGGAGGTTTTCGGACAGGTCGAGCTCCTGGAGGAGGCGGAGGCCCTGGAAGATCCTGCCGTGGAGACCGGTCAGCCCGATGCCCTTCAGGGAGAGATGTCTCAAGGATGTTAGGTTCCTGAGGCTTAGGGCTTTGGCAGAGAGTGTGCCGTGGGTGTCATCTTTCAGTGTCAAGTGGGAAGTAGTGGGTGGGATGCTTGATAAATGCTTCAAGCTGCAGGTAACCTGTAGGGATTCCCCAAACAAACATGTGCACTCTTGTGGACATGCATATGGTGTTTCTCTCGGAGGAGTTGTCTCTCCTCCTACAATGAGAAAATACACAAAGATGCTTATCCAGGCATCAATATTCCCCATTATTTTCACCTGCCATTCTGCAAGAGGAGAGGAAAAGACATTTTATGGATCATTCAAATCGTATACCTTACCCTTAGAATAATGGCAGGCCAAAGGGAAAAAAAAAATCCACCCCGATTATGTATGGATTTTGTCAATGTTGAAACTCCTGAACCATCGGGTTGTGAATTTTTTAAACCTTTCTCAAGTAGGTCTGTTTTGTCATGTATAAAACGGAGACACAATTAGACTCAGAGCAGTGGGTCACATCCATTAGTCCATTGTTGATTTTTGAGGGGTTAAATTTAATGTCGATTGAAAATTCATTGGAATAACGAAGCTTTTACGGATAGTCAAACGTCTCCATCGGTGGGTTATACTTACGTGTGGACTAACTGCTATACATTTATATTTCATAATGGTTAATTAAATTTATTTTTCCACGTCTTAACTTGCGAAGTGAAGTATCACCGATGTTCTCGTCGATCCATTCAGACCTCGCCGTTCGTCATTCCGAGATTGATTTACTCGCACGACCGAGAGATACAGGTTTATGGTCGAATAAAGATGGATCTGTCGGTGATAAAACGTCCAGGGCTTCTTCCTGCCGGTAGCTCTTTTCGCAACGTTTGGACGTGCCGCTACGGCGAGAGGACTTGTTTATGGCGCCGTTGGAGTCGGAACGAAAAGTTCTCCCCGTACTCGGCGCAGGTGGGAACGGGAAGCTGCAGGTGGGGCCGAGGGAGGAAGGAAATGGGAAGGTCGACGGACGATCGGAGGCTAAAGACGTCCCGGGGAGCCTGCTATCTCGATCGGAAGTGGCAGGAACTGCCAGGGCGAGCACGAACCAAGGGGGTGGGGGATCTGGACTCGGAGCTGCGGCGCACGATCGAGCGGTTATCAGTGGCTCGTCCGGTATGTATAGATCCGAGTCGAAGGCGGCTAAACCCGTACGCGAAGTGGAATGATTGAGATGTGTCGACGACCTTCGACGATGGAAAGAGACTCTCCTCGCGACCTTTCGTGTCGTAATTAAGATGCCTCCGAATCGAACCGTGAAATTGCTTCTTTTTTTTTCTCCCCAACTAGATCTTATCTAGCTTCTTTCGACGAAGCATTTCTCCAGACGTCATCTGCCGGAGACGAAACTGCGTCGTTTCGGTTCGGTACTAAAGGTCGAGGGTTAAGCCAACCACGCTGCGTATGCGTGGCAAGAGCGGTCCGAGAGGTTCTGTAGCTTCTTTTCGGTACAGAGATTAGCACGTGAGTTATGATTCGCTTTAACAAAAATGTAACTGGGCCTGGTCCGACACTTAGCCCGGTTGATAACCCATGCCGATGGGCCGAGGCTCCCAGGAGATAAACATGCACGGCTCAGAGGCGGAGGGAAACAAGGCAAAGGCGGTAATGCGCAGCCAGGCCCCCGTTTTTTTGGTCTGCATAATCACAACGCAGTTCTATCTGGCAGAAGGAGGCTTTCCAAGATTCGTCCCACGGGCCAAAAACAGCCCACGCTCTATTATCCCACATTCAATATATATGTATTTTTTACATATTGTTATCAGCTCCAGTGTATTTGTACGATGTGAAAAAAATAATTGAAACCTTATAATCTCGATTGACGAGGATGAGGTTCGTCAATGATTAATACCAGGGCCGGATTAAGAAGTTGCGAGGCCCGGGGCAAGTCAATTCCTGAGGCCCCTCCCCTCCCCTCTGCTTTACGCAAATACAATCCTTTTTTAGTACTTAACGTTTTTAATTTCCTTCGGGGGGGCCCCCTTTGCCCCCCCCCTTCCCCCTTAATCCGGCCCTGATTAATACTCTTGAAAATAATGCACTCGTTTATACACGAAACGAACATTCGAAATGCAAGTTCTGAATGTATGCGTCTTAGAGCAGCTGGACCGTAAGAGTTTGAAGCCCCGAGGGCGTTCGCGTCGGCAGAGATGATATTTGCGTAATGGGTATTTTATGTTTTTTTAATCGGAGGGAAACCGACGCGTGGAATATGGACTTATCGCACCGTTGGGATGAAGGACTACAGAGTCGGTTATCACTGGGCACGGCATGGCACCTGCACGCGATCGGGACAGGCGACACTGGTCTTCCGCGGGACCCAAAGTTGCGAAATGCATCGGGGAGAGAGGGAGCACTCGACTTGTCGTTGGCACTGGTTCGGCGGGGCCTGAGCCTGTGTGGGGCTTCGCGGCCCGTGAGGAAAGAGGAGATGGCGAGACGAGACGCTGGCGCAGCGGCGGACCTGGAAGGGATGGCGAGGGGGGAAGGAGTGGGTGAGGTGGGTGTGCGCATGCTCAGTGTCTCTGGGTGTCGGGAGCGTGAGATGCACGGGCCGCCGCTGCCGTTTCCCTTCTCCCTGCAGTGCAGGTGGAGGGAGGGTTTCTATGGGATGGGGCACTGTGGAGCGCGGCAGAGAACGGCCTCTGTCGATAAGCGCAGGGTTGTCAGATGGGGGTGTGTGACTCCGCTCCCGCTCCGGCATCCTTGTTCTCATTCATTGTAACTATTTCGATGCGCTTCACTGCCGACCGCTTCCACTTTCCTGAATGACGAGCATCCGCGCCGAGAACTGGTTTTTTACATTAATCCATATCGATACGGGGATGATTCCATGTCGCTCGGGACGAGAAGGTCGCGGAGGCAAATGGAGATTCCTGGGATCGCTGCTGCGGCAGTGCTTCTCGACGCGATAGAGGATAACGATCGGATTGTGACGCGGCATATCCGCGAAAAAACATTCGATCGATATCTCGGCTGGATGTGCCTGACTCGGAATCCTGGCTTGCTCTGATTCGGGCAACCGTCGAGCTGTGCCGTCTGGCGCGTTGCCCGGGGATCCGAACGAGAAAGTTGCCAATACGTGATGTCGAGTGGCTCTTCTCCCCGTCTCGAGTACACTTATCTCGGCATTGGACGGTAACGAGTATCCCATGATGTATAAACGATTCGACTCGATGAGAATCCAAGTAGCGTCGATCCTTCCCGTCGGGGGAGCCCGTTCTTGGACGTTTCCCCAGGTTTCGTCGGGAGATGCGAGGGATCGGATTCGGCGTCGACCTCAAATCGTGCCGAGAAACTGGAAACTCGCCGTCCTCCCTGCTGTCCTTGGGGGGTCCCGTTGCTGGCGTGACTTGTTGATGAGGTTTCGCGATTCTGGATACTTTCACCCTGAAATTAATGACTCGGATCTGTATATCTCTCCCTGTTTTTGCTTGCGGGCATGTCAGTCTGACAGCGAGGTTGAGTAGAATGGGCATTTTTATCGGTACTAATTTATATATTTTGATAAAAGGATCCTTGAAATGGGACCGTGATTTATTAATCTGAGTAATGGATATTACAATTTCGAGTTCAGAGGTATTTTTTTTCTTCTAGTGTGGGAACTTCGTGAAAGCTGGTGCAGTGCAAAGCATGACCCCCGAAGATGTCGTGACTGCATCTGACATCATCTTCTGCTGCATGTCAGATCCCCAGGTCTCCAAGCAGGTGAGGAACACCCCCTACCCCCTCCCCCCCCCCCCCCATCATCTCGCTTTCGTGGCGGCGATAAAATGTCCAACGGTGGCCTTATCTCGGTCCAGTTGGGAAAGGAAAGGAAAACAAGGCCGCTTTAGGGTGGCTGTGACATGTTATCGGGGGCTTGTAAATCGTGTACATCTTTTCCGATAACGGAATAGGTAAGTGAGGTGCGAGACAATGGACGATCGAAGAGGGCTTGTCGACGCCTGCGTGTGTCTCTGCCAAACGGATGCGTTTCGATTCTGCTGTCATGATTTCCTGGTATTGGGGCCGAGTTTAGATCGAGAGCCAGAGGATTATATCAGGTTTCCATAAGTACTTTTTTTTTCTCGTTATTTCTTCTTTGTTTTCTTGGATCATGATAGTGGGCGTTGAAATGCAATCATATGTTGTGTGCCATGGTCTCGGTATTTAATGGAGGAGCACTCCGCCGGCAAGATGGATCGTTCGAGTCGTCGTACCGACTTCCCTGCCTCGAACCGTCTGGATTGCTGTAAAGTCGTGGTGGGATGAGGGATGTACCGATGCTTATCCGGCAACCGCGGGGATCGACCGCCGGTGTCGATACGCAAGGAAGGCGCCAAACGAGGACTCGAGAAAGAGAAACGGGCGAACGCGGCTCGGGAAATGGCAATAGGAAAAGGGAGGAGCCATGCATCGATCTACGTATCGATGCCCTCATCGATGGTGGCCGACCTAGCCTTCGTTGGCGATTCGCTGCCGGGGGATGTCGCGAGCCGTCGATGCGCGGTCGGTTGGGTCGATGGGTGCTGATGAAAAATTCGTTCCTACGTGACGACCTTTAAAGGGATGAGTGAAACGTGCTTTCCTGGCTGGCCTATTAGTGCATGAATGTTTCACGTCTTGGTTCGGTCTTTGTCTTCGTGCCACAATCGCCATCGGCCAAATGTGGTCGCCGGTACGGCTGTAGATGGGATCATCGTGGACGTAACTGGCACACAAAAGCTCGGTGATTATCATTCAGTTGACCTATATTATGAACAAAGAAATTGGAACGAATGTAGAGTTGTTTGAATAGATAAAGGCCGTTTAAGAATCGGGATTCAAGGACAGGAAAATTTTGTGCAGTACTTTTTTTTAATGCTCGTGCCTCGCCCTTGCCGAGAGCATTGATGGCCAAGTGTGGCCTCTCTCTTCCCCGTTGCCGTGCCAGATCATCTATGGGAACTGTGGGGTCCTGAGTCAGATGACTGCGGCCAAGGGTTTCGTGGAGATGACGACTTGCGACCCCGAGCATTCCAGAGACGTGGCCGAGGTATGTCGTCGCCCGTTCCCGGCGGGGTGGGGTGGACGGAGAGCCCCCGATGTTTGAGACGTTTCGTTTTTTTTTGTGGTGTTGCAGGCTATCAACGGGAAGGAAGCCAGATACTTGGAGGCCCAGATTCAGGGGAACAAAGAGCTGGCGAAGGATGGGAATCTCGTCATCCTTGCGGCCGGAGATCGATCTCTCTTCGAGGACTGTGCCAGCTGCTTCACGGCCATGGCGACCAGCTCGGTTTTCGTCGGCACGTCTGGTCCCTCTGCCTCCTGGCATCGAATCGTCGGAGTTTCGAGGGTGTTGAGGGGATTTTTTTTTATTTCTGCAGGTGAGGTGGGGAACGCCAGCAAGATAAACTTGCTGCTGCAGGCGATATCGGGTGTGAGCATTGCGGCCCTGGGGGAGTGCATGGCGGTCTGCGACCGCACGGGGATCCAGCTCAGCGATTTCACCAAGATCTTGGAGAAGACCCAGCTGGCTTCTCCCCTTCTCCTCGGCAAGGCTAAAGGTGAGGGCGAGGACGGGTGTCGCACGGTGGACGGTTTCCTGGTGGTGGTGCTGGTGACTCGCGTGAGGGATCTGTGCACCGGGTTGAATGTATTTGAACGGTTCTTATCACTTGTCGTGCCGAAAGTGAAAGGAGACGTGAGAGGGTTGGTGGATTTACGAGGAGTGTTTGGTAATGCCTGCTTGGGTATTGCTTGTTTATTTCAGATAAATTTGATGCATTGATAGAGGTGATACAGAGGAACAATTTTCTACTTTTCTATTTAATCCCCATTTGCAGATACACATTTGCGTCGCCTCTCAACCCAACATTCAAATAATTTTTTTTAAATCCACACGTTTATTTCAACCACTCCTTTACAGTAGTCTTAATTTCATCATCACTATCAAATCCATGATATCCATGTAAAAATCATCCTTCATTGGCCCAAAGAAGCGGAAATCACTTGATGCGTGGAAGACGATTTGATAATACAGATGAAATTACAGCTGGTTTAAATGAGTGGTTGAAAATGTGGAATTTTACAAAAGAGGATTTGAACGTTGAGTTGAGAGGTGGCGCAAATTAGTAGCTGCAAATAGAGATTAAACAGAAAAGTAGGCAATTGTTTTTGTCACATCTTTTTAAACCTGTGTAAAAGTATTTTTTAGGTTAGAAATAAACAAGGATATGCAGGGGATAGTGCCTCTATCATGCACCTTCCTTACTATCAGACACCTTCCTTCTCCCCCCTACATCTTGACAGTGACATGCTTGGCAAAAAATCACTTTCTGACGAGATGTGTAGTGTAGGTTCCATCCTAACCTTGAAGCTGTGTGCCTTCATTTTAGTCGAACACTCCCCCAAATAGGACCATCTTCAATCTCACCTCTCCCAGGAGGTCAGGCAACGTTCTGTCACTCTCAAGCCTCTCCAAAATGACTCATCTCATGAAACATCCTTTTCAGACAAGATTTGGAGCTGAGAGTCCATTCTGGTCAGCGGTATACATTTCAGAGCGGCACGTTTGTATTGTGAGACGAAATATCGTACCTATGCTGGGAGATTCGGTACTCCCAACATCTCAGCACCATCTTCCTTTGTGTAATATAGACATGTGGACAAATTTCCAGAGCAGGGAATTTGAAACTAATAACAGTAGTGATAAAGGCATAAAATGTCGTTCAGTTTCCCAGCTTGAATTTGGTAAGCTTCTGGAAAAAGAAGGGCAATCATATCAAGCTGGACTAAATAATTACTCATTTGATATCTTACAAAGAGGGGAGAATACTCTTTCTCCCTCTTTCCAAGATTTTTTTTTCTCATATCTCTCCAAGCTGAGGCTAGCCATGGGTCTTATTGCCCAGGCATTCTGTTCATCACGTTCAATCACCGTGTTCAAGATGAAGAGGCATGGGAAAAATCATGGAAATCATTGAACCCCTTTATAAAGAGCAGCATCTGTCATGAATGTTCAGATGGGCAAGGTCACGAGGTGTGAGATGTGTGTCGTGAAAAAAAAAGAAAAGGATGAGCTTGATAGCAAATGAATTTTGATTGTGGAATGGAATCTACACCTGGTTTGTGTTGATAGAGTGTGGATGCATGTTCACCGTTCATTTTCTAGCAGATACGTGAGATACATAAAACAGATAGGAGAAAAGAGCAATGCAATGTATACCGGAGACTTAAATGGACTTCTGATCCAAAGTCCAAATCTTGTCTGAAAGATGTTTTCATGAGACAAGTCATTTTGGAGATGCTTTAGAGAGATGGAACATTGCCTGACCTCCTGGGAGAGGTGAGATTGAAGATGGTCCTATTTGGGGGAGTGTTAGACTAAATTGAAGGTGCACAGCTTCAACATTTATGCCATTGGTTAGGGTGGAAACTAACTACACATCTCGTCAGAAAGATTGGAAATTTTGTCAAGCATGTCGTTGTCGAGATGTAGGGGGGAGAAGGAAGGCATCTGATAGAAAGGAAGGTGCAAGACGGAGGCATTATCCTTTGCGTACATTTATCTCATTTAAACGTGGTTAAAAGGTCTAAAAAAAATTCTGCCAATGGCTAGGGCAGACTCTGGACTACAAATCTCGTTCAGGGAGAATTTTTGTAAATGGAAACATTTTCGAGATAAAGGAGGGAGAAGCAAGGCAGCCCTCCACTGTCCATTGTTGAGGGTGGGACACGTGACATCGTTTCCCGGACTCGATGGCTTCCCGTCCGGGGCCGATCGGCATGCGGCTGCACGGAATCCGCTTGGAGAACGTATTTCAAGCGCAGCAATTTGTGATTGTATTTGTTCAGAGATGTGGTAGGTAAATGCAACCCCACTCTTGCATTGAGATCCATCATTAGGCAGTAGTGTATCATGCAATTGTTGACCTGTCCATATGATTTTGAGAGCAACAAGTAGACTTATTAGTTATTTATGTCATGGGTTGACCAGTTCTGGCAAAATGTTATTTATAATTTCATGAGTTATGATTGATGTAATTGTAGCACTTTAGTTCATCAACTGGTTTCTCTGTGTATTTTTTTTTGTTCACTGCCTGATCAAGACTATTTATTTGATGGCATTCAGGTACGAACATAGGCTCGATGTTTTCGACACGAATACGAGTTTCACAGCCGAGGTGTGAGGCCGTGGCCTCGAGTTAGAATAGCACACGGAATGATGTTAGCCGGGTGGACTTCCAGTGCTTGTGGGACAAGTACTGTGAGGGAAGTGTAGATTGTGAGGAGAATGAGTATGTGTTTCCCGTAGCTGACCTGATGTTACATCGTGCACGCTGGTAAGAACGTGTAACTGCATGCGTGGTTCTAGATCGGTCCGCTTTATACTAGGTCTGGAGGGTACCTGACTCCAACCTGTGATGATTAGATAGATGAGTGAAGTTGCCAGGATGCATTCTTCTTAGTGTAAGAGGGCTTTCACCTCAGAATGTGGCCAACTCCTCTCATTCTGATGTGATGGCAAGCATCCTGTGTCATGGGATGAGGCTCTGTCTGGATTAACAGAATTTCCACTTCAATAACTCTTAGAAGGTGGTTTGTGTGTAATTGCGTTCTGTCAGACATTTTCAGAACTCTTTGGCCAAAGTCATAACGAACCGGGGTACGTGTGATGTCGCACGCGTGACGCGGCGACGTACGCGTCACAGTCGTCGATGGCAAGTCTTCGCGAGTGAATGCAGATGGTTTCGATGTGCATCTATTCGGCCAAACAGGACTCTGTATTTTGTACTGCTTTGTGCATAGACTTTTCTTAGTTTCATGCAGTTGTTTTGTGTTTTGATCCAAGGATGACCGGTTTCAAGTAGTATTTACGATCCCATGAGGAAAGAAGTTCTCTCTTACCTATTGCTTAGCTTTTTGACCGGTCGTGGTTGCAGATCAGGGAAGATGCAGGTATTTGCTGCAATGCTTGACCATAGTTCAAGAAGAGAGCATTTGCCGAACAGGAGAGAGGAATTCGTGTCTGCTAAAACTTGCACGATTATGAGCTTTTTGAAAACAAATTTGTTGCCACGACTAGATGTTCTAACCCTATGTGGATCTCTGTACGATGCCCTAGCCCCATGAGAATTTGTTTCCATTCGAATCCAGTCGATATACCATTTCGTGTTCTCGGTTGATACGTATTGTTTCTGCGGGCAGCCATCGTGGAGGGGAGTTTCCCGCCGGAGACGCCGCTGTCTCACATCCAGAAAGATCTCCGTCTCGCCGTCGGGCTAGGGGACAGCCTGGACACTCCCATGAGTCTCTCGGCCACAGCCAACGAAGTGTACAAACATGCCAAGCGGATCGGCTACGCGGATCACGACGTCTCTGCCGTCTACATCAGGTCTCGCTTCTGATGGTCCGATTTCGTCACGTATCGATCGGGTCGTGCGAGATCCCGTAGACCTTAAGTCTTTTTGAACATGGTTTTTTTTTTCTCTGCAAAAATATTTGCAAAGTGACGTAGGTAATAGAGGAACCATTTTTGCGACGACCGAGACGTCCCCCTCTTGTTTTTTTTTGTTATCGACGATCACACGCTCCCTTTTTTTCGTCTGTAATGATGTGTGACGACAGCCAAGTGCAAAGTGTGTTGGGACTGTGTTGCATGTTTTTTCTTTTTTTTTTACTGCCATATTACGTTGTTTATAAGTTGCTACCTCTAAGAACGAAGTATCACAGTTCAAATCCGTTTACACGCATCTGCAAGTTTGTTTTTAAACTTTTTTTTTCTCTTTGCACCCATTCCACGTAATGTCAAAGGTTGTCATCGTTTTTGCAGCATCTCTTCTCACATGTGCCCTATTCTAGACTCCAGATGTAACATAGATGCTTTCTCTCATCCAGATGAGTGTTCTGCAAACGCATGATTGTCCGCGGCATATTTTTTCTTCTCCGTTTTCCCTGCCAGTCCGTTCTCGAATCACGAAAAAATTTGCAAAATAAAAAAGAGCATTTGTTTAGATCGCATCTTTTCATTCCGTTCGTATGAATTCCTTCTCATCGGTTGGAATTCTCAGAGTGTTCCAGGGAAGTTTGGAAACTGCTTTTCTTGAAGAGCTCTGCCTCTTTCCGTTTGCGTCTCCTGTGCAATATTTTGAAACCTTTGCAGGGGAGGGGGGGGTGGGGGGGGGGGGAAGGGCAAGTTAACAGATATGGGGCTGCAAAGGTTCTTAGAGGCAAGGAAGGATTCTTGAAGGGGTCATCGAGGCGCTTTGAAGGGCTGCCAGAGGGAATAGCCCCCCAGCCCCCAAGTAAAACGTCTCTGGCTTTTTTGATGAAAAAAAAAGATTGAACCCATCGCCGACCAGGAAAATAAATGGTTGGCGAAGGTGAAGCGCATTATTCCGGTCGTTAGGAATGCTCTTAAAATGATCATATTTTATCTGGTGGCTCTGAGGCGAGTTCGGCTCTTCGCCCAATTATCTTTGTCCTTTGAGCTTTAGGCTGAAAATCCGACCGAGGGCTAATTTTCGTCGCGACAGTCGATGGGCTCTGTGTACTGTTGGTTTCTTTATGAAGTTTAAACAATCACTTATGAGCTTTATGAGGCAGCATTTAACAATGAGATACCCTCTACTCGTTCCCTCCACAGTCCAGTGGAAAAAAAAATAATGGCAACGTCGAGGCATAGGTTAGATGTGACATATTTACCCGCTGGTACTTTTTCGGGAACGTCCAATCGAGACTGCGTTTTATCGGCTCCTAGCGGTCGGATGGGCTTCCATTATTAATTTTTTCACATTTCGATGAGGATCCGTCGGCCGGATGGCTTCCTTTCCGGACGCGTCGTGGGTCTGCGACCCAACGAGGTCGTCGCGACCCGAGGAACGGTTGGAAGGGCGGCGGTTTCCTAACCTATGGGTTGCGACCCACGCGACCCACTCGTGGGTCGATGTGGGGGTTTGGGTCGCCAAGGGCAGAAATGCCATAAACACGAGTACGATTTAATTTCTTTTGTCGTAAATGGTGTTCTTCCACCGGCATTATTTTTCTAAACCACATTTCCCCTGGGAGAAACATCCGTGGACTTCTCCCGTGCGAAGACGGAAGCGAAATCGGGCAACA